GGTAGAGTGTTTTGGGGATCACATGGTTTTTTTCCTCTCCTTCATTTGTATTCTTTGTATTCGTCAAAGAACTCTAACTTTCACACTGGAAAAGTAACGTAGACATTTTTTGCGTACTTTTGATGGTTGTTTTTGTTCTTGTTACCCCTTTGTTTCGAAGTTTTTTTGAGCCAAATCTTGTTTTCCATCTCACAAATTTAATACATTTTCTGCGGAGTTTTGGGGGTTCATAAAATAATGCAGAGTCTTTTGGGAGGATCAGGTCAATTTTAAGTCTATCGTGACACAATCAAAATCCTCCACCCCCTCCTCCCTCCCTCTTCCCGCGATTAATGACTGATCCCTTAATGTCTTTCTATTACAATTTTTTGTCGTTGAGTTTTACATTAATGAAACGGTTTTCTGATAACTTTTATTTGTAACCCCAGATTTTTCGTTTCCCTTGATTTTGTTTACTAAGTTCTATTTAACAAATAGATTGCATGTTGCCGTGGGTCTGTTCAGCAATAGATCACCAATAACGTTAAAAAGTGGTAAGAACAAAAAAGTGGCACAGGAAGACCAGCAGAGTGTGTCACTGATGTTGTTATCACATGTTTACGCCCCGTGCGGTCTATTACTGTACAGATCCTCGCAAACATGGAATCTATTTATGTCAAATGATAAAAAAGCCAATTTGTGACGTCATCTATGTGTCTGTCTTCCAATAGATCATAAGTTCGAGCCAATTAAAATACGGATATGATCCAGCTAACATGTAAATTACCAGTTGTTTGTATCTTCATTTCAGACATCTCAGGTAGTAGATATCCAGACAATTAAATGTTCCGATAAGCAATATTGTCGTGATAATCAAACATGTTGTCTTGCTCTTGGAGTGCCGTATGGATGCTGTCCTTTACCAAAGGCTGTTTGTTGCCCGAATAAAAGAACCTGTTGTCCACATGGATTTGTTTGCGTCGAGTATGGAAAGATTTGTTTACCGCGTTATCAAATATCAAAGATGGAGACCATTCGTGTTGCTAAGAGAACACGGGTAGCGTTAAAGAAAAACACTGACATCACTTATGACAATTCTTGGCTCCGTGGTGATAAGTGATATGAAGTGATATGAAGTCTTCCTTTTTGTAAATTACCGAAATGGTAACGGAAGGCAGAAGCCCATGGGCTCCTGTGGAAGGTTGATTGCAAAATGAATACGTTTTCTGCTTGTTGTTGGGCTCGCCTAGGAATAAATATACCTCCAGAACGACAACTTAAATTTAAAACTTATTGCAAAGAACAAAATAGCCCTTGGATAAATGGTTATTCGATATTCGATATTATTTGATATGGTTTTTCGATTATTTAGGTCAATGCAAATTCAATTATGAAATTATGTGTAAATATTTATCTAGACATATATATGATCAGAGATAAAATACGCGCCCCAGCTAGAAGTATATTGTTAATTTTTTCTTAATTTAAATTGAATTTGCACGGCTGCAACAGCTACCTGGCTAAATAAAACTTCGTAACTAAGCAATAAAAGGTGATCAATTTTGATACCGATGTAAGTTTCCTTTACAGTATAACGTTCGGTAGTGACATGCGATACGCTTTAGTTAAACTCTTCACTTCGCGGATTAGATAACGTCCGCGGACAGAACATACTTCCGCGTCATATGTTTACATCTGTTTATTAATCAGAGCTAGATCACTGACTTCTTTTTTGTATTTAATTTTACTCCTTGGCTCAGCACTGGGGCTAATATTGCGCACGCTCTGATTGGTTAGTCATGAGGACGTTCTTCTCCCGTTATGCCACCGGGCAGGAGCCCATTAATGGCCTCCTGCCCCGGGCCAGTTATCGAGTATACAAATAAAGAAAAACCGAAAAATTTGATGGTATCCAAAATAATAAGGGCTGATCAAAATCTAGACAGAGGAAAAAATTTTTATCGATCGAAGGCTAAAACTTCATGACAGAGGGAGGAGCTAAGAAAAAAATTTAGGATTTTAATGCAATTTTTCGTTGATGTTTATGAATGGATGGAGGTTTTGGACTTATCAGATGGAAACTGTGGTCATCGATGTAATTTTCGAATGATGTAACTTTTGTATGTCTGGCCAGTAAGCTGGCAGCTTACTGGCGGCGAAAATGTCGTAATCCCCTTTTTTAACAAGGGGAGTTATCCCTAATGGCAACAAGATGTCTCTTGCCAGGATAAGGTTGTCACACCACTGTACCGTCCTGCAACTAAACGCATTTTCTCGACAGAGTACGCGCTAGTTTACTTACCTGACAGGTAAAAGTTGAGCACTCGTAGAAATCTCTTCAACGCGATTAGAAGTAAATTTTTTTGTACAAGTTTTCGCGGCGGAGATAGAAATTATGTGCCGTAGGTAGGGTAATTCTCTCTCGAGCACGCTCATCACCGTATGCAAAGTGGCGACATCCGCTTGGATTACATCTGTTTTTCATTTTTTCCTAACTGGTTTGATAGCCATTAATCAAGTAAACAACTTTTTCAACCCAACCGCTCCGGGAAAGTCAGAAAAATTGGTGAAGCCTTTTTGACCTTTACTATTGCTTGATTACTACGGCAGTTTAAGAAATCGCTCTCGGAAGAGATTATAATCTATTGCTCTTGATAAACGTATAGTGAATAATGCTTAGCACATTTCTTTTTCATATAATACCCATCACTTAAAATGCGGTTGATTTAAAATTTACTTCGGATGTTGTCTGTATTTTGATAAACCTTACATTTCAAACTGGATTCGTAGCAAAAGTATAAGCTCCTTAGGCTTCTTTAAAAAAAAAAACAAACGAACAAAACAAAAAACGAAAAAAAGAAGAAAGAACAACGAATAGAGGTGATCAGTCACGTGGCTCTAATCTTTTGCGCGCGGAAAGAATGATGACGTAAGCCTTATTATGACCTATGTAATGAAGCCATTGCCGCATTTGATAGAAAATACCTGCACCTGAGATTTATCAGAAGAAACTGAGAGGTATTTACAACATGCTTTCATCAAAGCTCTACTATTTCTTGTGTTTTATCACGTGCGGGTTAAAGGAAGCCTTTGGTCTTCAAAATCATGAACATGAAACGCGAGTCCAACAACTTGATACGATTGCAGTCGAAGATGAGGAAATTCGCCGGAAACCTCAATGTATGTCTCACAGTGAGGGCCCAAGACAAAAGCATTATGATGTAAATGGAGTTAGGAACCGCGGAATCAAGTATTGGTTCAGAAGAAAGAAAATCGCGCCCGCAGTTTTACCCTCGGCCAGGCAAGGACCCTCTAGGGCCGGTTGTGCTAGGGGGCTATGTCCCATTACTGAGATTTCCGAAGGCCAGCCGGATGAAACCTCAAATGATCATATTGTCTTAGCTTTCTCCGAGACCAAAGACAGTTTGTTACAAAAACAAACTAGCGCTCAGGCTTTACAGAGCTTCGCATCATGTGCTCGGCTGAATGAAAATTTTATGAGAAAAACAACTTGGATGGGAGTCGATAACTGTGTCAACGATGATAATACGGCTAATACCCAGGAAATTGCATTGAATTCGTCTTTTTCGTCCAAGATTATCGCTACATGGAAAGCTTTCAGACAAAGAATTTCATTCAGAGGCACTCAAACGACACCAGATAATGCGCTATGTTGTCGTAATGAAAATAAGTCAGAGGCGCGGGAAAATTTGGCCGGCAATATCGATGTAGAACGTAAACTTCAAGGAAAAAAGGGGGTAAATTCAGGCAAATGTTGTCGAAGAAAATCAGTGAAAAATTCGTCCACTACAAACAAAAAAGAACCTGTTGGATCTCACAGACCTGGAGAAAGTGATCCAATATTCAGTCGTGATCTTTACATGCAGGTAAACAACGTAGTTGTCACGAGAGCAAGTAGTCAGTATACTTCAAGCGACCCATTCTTGTTCCCAGAGGAGACATCTACATTGAGTGGGTTGCCCCTTGAATATCTCTACTGGAGAACAAACGGTAAATGTGGCTCACAGCCCACAAAAAGAAAATCTCGACTACCTGGAGTGCTCCGAAAATTTAAAAAGTAATGGTGCTGCTTATCTGGTGACGTCAAGCCGATTGAGGAAAGGATGACCATGTTACTGGACGTTAGTCAAAATCGGTTTAATAAATTCAACCAAGCGAGACGAAAAAAAGGATTTATTTAACTTCCAAGTAACAGTAACAAGTCTAAGCAATTCCACTTTTTCGTCATGCCGCATGCAAGATTGTTGAAGCACGTGTGGAAAACCCGACAAACTTGAATCACAATCTATTGAGGGGACCCGGATATGAAAAATGTTACAAGGTAATTTGGTATTATCGACTGAGTTGATAACGTAAAATTGGCCACCGTAAAGAGTTACAAAGCTGACGTTTCGAGCTTTAGCCATTCGTCAGAACAAATGACGAAGGGTGCAAGCTCGAAACGTCAGCTTTGAAATTCTTTACGGTGGCCAATTTTACTTTATCAACTCAGTTGATAATACCAAATTACCCTGTTATGTCTCCCACCGACGCAGCACCACAGTCTCTTTACGGACACTTCCCCTCCTTTGTTGATTTATAAAAAATATTGTTGAATTGTCCACAAAATATCATATAACTTATCATAACTTATCGTTCTGAGGAACATTGAATTTTGTTGAAATTTGTTGGGTCATTTTGCTTGGTTCTTTTGAAGCGTAAATGTTGTGAAGAAGTTGTTCATATGGTGTTGGTATGGTACTGAGTTTCTAAGGTACCATACCATACCCAAGACTAGACGATCAAATTTTACCTCAAAAGTTCAAATCATTTGTAATTACTGTATTACATGGTGCTGTTGTGAGATTTCATTGCGGAATGACATCCTTGCCTAGAACACAGGAAGAATGACTCGTGGCAGTTTAAAATTTTTTTAAGATGCCATGCATGTAAAGAAATGCAAAGCCACAAGAGGCAACCTGGGTGAAATCGCTCCGTTAGGATGGTTGAAAAGTCACCCAGGTGCAATTTCAATACCCCCTTAGACGGAGCCGCGTGATTTCACTATATTTGAGTTCAGTTCTTTATTTGCAAGTCAAATGTCACGAAACATGACAGCATTTAAATATTCATATCGTCCACATGGTCAATTCAGCTGTCAACCATCTCTATTTCTTATCCGATCTTTCCGATGTCTCAGTCTCTGAAATTCTTACCGTTTCTGTTCAGTTGGGATTATAAATGTCGAATAATTCCACGTCCTAGATGGCATCGCTAAATTAAATTAAAATATCAGCTTACTTTCCCTTTGTTCTCTTGAATGTAACATCGATCGGAAATTCTGAATCTGTCGTAATGCTCCGCGAGAGCAAATATGAGCTGGTATCGCAGAAATGTAGGGAGCTCTCTCAAAAAACAGAAAATCGAATCTGAATGGCCGTTAGGCGATTGATGTTAGATCGAAGACCACAGTTCCATAAGCTTAATTCGTTCTGACTTACAAAAACATGTAAACTGTCCACTCGACTGCCAACGCGAGTATTGCGAGAATGATCAGAACAAGGTTGCTTTCCCTGTGTCTTGTACGACGGCCCAGCGGACCCCAAGGAATCAAATCGTTTATAATCAACAGTCCCAGTATGATTATCGTCGAAACGAAGAGAACTCGAAGAGTCGGGTGATCGTAGTCAAACAGTAGATTATCCATGATTGTAATCACTAACTTAGAAATTATCCTCGCTGCAGCCCTTGGCGAAGTATCTAACTTAGCTTTGTGGCGATGTAGCTTTAACAGGAATTTCGATTTATTCTCGCAAAGTGTTGTCGATACAGTAAAAGGAACATAAATCAGCCGAGCGACCGTCAAATGAAGACCCCAGGGCAATTCGTAGCTTATGAATTATGCACGAAATCAGTAAATGAAAATTATTAAAATTCATGATCACAATTGCTATGTATTGAGTTTGAATAACAACACGCGGCTTCTGATCAGTCATGTTTTATTTATCTATTTATTTCTTCTAAAGCAGCAGATTTTGTGTTTGTAATGTAGCTTACTTTGTTTTTATGACAGAGACTGGATCACGACGAATTAAGGAGTTTCTTTTCATACTGTTAATGATATCCTTTTTTGCTACGTGTATTGAATTATGCCTGAGGATGACACAACTTCGATAAAAAAAGAAGGAAAAAAAATCAGCGTTTAACAGAAGACTTTAGTACAAATCAAATCGGGTTGTCATCCTTTGAAGCTCGTAAGAGATCAGCTTAAAATTCTCCTCACAATACTATTACATCTCGGCAGGTAGAGGTCTTGAGAAAGAAGGAACTGATCATGATTAGTAAAGAGTAATGGCTGCAACCTTCAACAATGATTCTCTCAGTTAATTGCTGTCATAGGAAAATGCACTCAGACTCAATGAAAAGAATCTGTGTTGACTTTGGAGCTAAAATGGTTAATTAATCCTCGCTGGTGAACTGAAATTGATAAATTGTTGAGACAGTTTAGAAAGGATATCCTAACAAGGGTGTGCACTGCTATTCTGCCTCACCCTCCCCCATTCAGTTTCATTTCTGTTTAATGTTCCTTTAACCGCTCTGAATACGATCACCTCCTCAAACTACCCACCATGGGGAGAGGAACGGTCATCAATCGTCACTAACCAGTTGCCATGAGAGACAGGGTCGGCGATGTGCTTCGCGCTTAGAGATAAACGCTACACATCATCATCACAGTTGATGGTGTTGTCTTTGTTTGGTTTCAAAGATGGGACACGTACTATAGAAAAGATCCCATTAAGTTCGGTCATATAGTTAATTAGTCAGACAACTGGACGGATTTAAATTGGGGTGATGCTACATATGGGATATTCCTACCAACAGATCAAACTCGCATGCGCAGTATTTGGGACAATTCATAGCTTAAAGGTAGAACGCCGTTCTCATCATTCTTCGCGTGTTCGTCGATGACGTGAAATGTAGCAGTGATTCGTTATGCCTTTATATTCTTTTACCTCTACTTAATTTCGAACACTATTGGCCTGTTCCAATCATTCAGTTATTAAAACGTAGCGCAGTAATAAGGAAGGAGGGAAAAGTCGAGGGAGGGTTGAGTTCATCAGACCCAAGCCTCTACCCCTTTTTCGGTCCGCCGCTACTATCGCGATTCGTTCCTCTAACTGAACTCATGCAACAGGCTAGAACACTGTATTTTTATTTTTCTTTAAAGTCATTGACCCTTTAAAATTAACCCGATTAGGCAGCCGTCTTGGATTATACCAGTTGTATAATCTTAGGACAATTCAAAACTTTTTTCGCCCATTACTTCCTAATTAGCTTGACAAACTCAGCTGATGCGTTGTGATTTCACCCTATGAAAACTCTTCAACCTTAATCGAAGTTTCTCCCGTTCAACTAGCGTGCCGACTACGAGGAAAGAGAATGATTTTAGACCCTTTTTTGAGAGGTATTTTAACCTCAGCGTTGAGGTATGATTTGCACTGTTTGTCTTCAACCTTTTTCCCCCTATTTTCCCCGTCAATCACGTTTCACTCGCTCTACCAATTTTTGCGGTCTTCTTCAAAATCTCTCTGGAAGAAATTTTACCTTTTTTTCAGTATTTGAGAATCGCTCATTTGAAAATTACCAGGTGGGCTTCTAGCCAATGAAAGGATTAAAAGAAAATCAAATGATAGAGAAACTTTTATTGCAGGATTCGATTGATAAAGTAAAGCTTGACATCAATTTTTAAAAACGAGGAATACTTCTCTTCAACTTCAATAACTTCAGCTCATTCTCGAGCTAGCGTAGTTCAAGAAATCCTATAGCAGAACATACAATCTATGTGCGTACCTCAACAACGGGGTTGAATCAACAACACGGGGATAAAGTACGCAACTTTGGCCTAAATTCCATCGGAGAAAAAGGTTTGAACACATAATCTTGCACGTAGCTACGAGTACTCTTTGAAAATTGTACACATTACCTGTGCTTCCTACCACCAAAATGAAAAACAGTTCGAACCTAAAAAGAGCAACGTTGTAGTCTTCACATCTCGGGGATTACAAGCAAAGAGAGAGGGCATATTTTTTCAACTTCGTCATTTGCGTTGCGTTCTTATAATTAATAATAATATTTAATTATATTTCTAGTCTACAGTCATTTGCATTCCTTCCTGATTTACCGAACTAGTGTGTAGTCACCTTTGAATAACTTTGAAAAATACATGTCTCAAGTACTTGTGAGGTTGTCTCTTTGCGCTAATAAGTTCAGAGGGCAGTTCATCTCTTTGCACGACAGCAGCTTAACATAGTACTCATGCAGGTGTATATTAAGCCCAGTGCGAGTGTGAGTTCAACTCAAGTAAAGGTAACCAAGGTGTCGAAATCGAAACCTTACTAGTTAGGCTGCATGGAATTGGAAAAGAGCGAGTAATGAGCCTCACCGAAATCAAGCTATCAGAAGGGCTTTGTTACTCAAAGCACCTGCCCGCACATCAAGGTAGTACTGTGGCTACACGACACAGACAAGACTTTCAGTTTCGTTGATAAAGTAACAGACATGGGTGTGGCACAGTCTTCGTCCGTCTGCAATCCCAGCCGCCCTCTAGCACCCTTCCCCCACGAAAACACTTCTCCATCATTGCTTACTGCAACTGTAAAAGTGTCTCCGCAAGAAACAAACGTAAGCTTCTTGTTTTCCAAAGTTTTAACTACTCTAGGCTCTCGGCAACTTCCCTCGCGTTCATAACCGAGCTGGCCAAATGAATTGGAACCGAATGTCAGGCATTTACCGCTGTCCGTTAGCACCGCAGTGTGTGACGTTCCCATGGTGACAGCCTTGACAGGCTCGGCCATCACAGGCAGGGAAGTGATGGGTCTCAGTATATGTGACTCGTCCACGGATTGGTCTTCAGTGTCTAGCGCTAGCTTGTTGCATCTGTTACTACCGCAAGCTAACAGCCTGTTGTTCAATGTCAGCACAAAAGAGCAGTCTACGCCGCATTTGACCTGTTTGGCAGTGAAACCAGGTTCAAGACTGACAGGTTGTGGAAGAGAGAACGACTGCTGGTTTCCAAGCCCCAAACGTCCGTTGTCACCCCGTCCCCATGAGAAGAGTTCTCGGTCAGCCGTGACGACCATTACATGGGAAGCACCACAGGACACCTACATATACGGTATGAAGATTACTTAATTATGTAACACTTAGCAAACAGCTGACGTAATAGTAAGGGGCACTTTTTGACAACATATTTACAACCGAATAAATCTGTGGTAAAAAGGTACGGTTCCGAAAGTTATTGCACACAAGCACAGTACACACAAAATAAAATTTTGACATAAAATACTGATAACCACCATAAGAGTTCACTATTGGTTACAAGGAAACCTAATGTAGCAGTTGAATACCATTTATGTCAAGGAATGAGTTGGAATTCCAAGCGAACTATCTGTGAGGCAACTCAGGTCAGTTTATCAGTGGCCACAAAGAGCGAGTGTATAAATGTTTTATAAACCTTATAGATGTACCATCATGTACCACCAAGGTGCAAATTACCATGGCAAACAGAGTGAGACATAATTGTGGTCAATCATTCTTGGGGAAAAATGATGAAGAGGAGAAAAATAAAGGAAACAAAAAAACTGCTACACTGCAAAGGTGGACAAGTGAAACATTGTAATAATTTTCATCATGAAGATAGTATAACATACAGGCCTCATATTTCATTAAAAATGTTCCAGAAATGATTTTGTTTCTATACCATGCTTTGTTTATGTATTTCATGTTATTTGTTTGTTTATTTTTGATGGGTGTAGAATATTTCTTACCTGCTTAACTTCAAATCCAATTAACTGTTCCACAATTTTGGCCTGACCAACATCATTGTGATTTCCATGTCCTAATGCACCATGCATACCATTTCCAAATGTCATGAGGATTCCACGATCTAAAAACAAATCCACGATTTCATTAGGACTTCATAAAATGACAATTCCATTTTCTCTTAAAAGCATCTCTTTCTCTCGTTGTCATAAACATAACACATGTAATACTTGGCTAAGGATAAACACAAGGGACATTAGAGAACTTTTATAACTGAGCCACTAACGCTGCATCAGGGAGGACATGTTGAGACTAAAACAAGTCAATCAAAATTGATTGATTTTGGTGTTACTGTGTGATGTGTTGTTACAATTTTGGTTAACAGTACAGGTTTTTAAACCTGCTTAGGTCTAAAAAATTAACTCACTGTATTTTACACAAAGTAAACAAAGGGTTAAAATAACAAACATTTTGCACTGCACCCAAAAATATTGAAAAATATTGGTGTCGTGTGAACCTGTCTAATGCATTGTGTATTCATACTACATAATTACTAAAAACTTTCATGCTTAGCAGCTATAGGGGAGAATAGGCAATCAGATCTTGGGAGTCAAAGGGTTTTAAAAGACAATTCAATGAAGTTGAAAGGAAGGGTCGTTCAGATACAACAGCCCAAACAACAATTAATCGCTCTTAGTGCAAGAAGTGATCATGAACCTGTAGGTATAAAAAAACATTATTCTGAAACACAAATCACCATTTAGTAAGGTGGAATTAGTTTCTGCACGATATCAATTCCCACAATCACCTCTCTGGTCTGGGTGTAATCGCAAAAGCATTATCTTTTCAACTTGAAATACTTTTATTTTACAGAGCAATGGTAGTGGTAGGTTGAAACTAGAAATATAAATAGTTAACTGATTAAGATAAAGAGACTGCCAACAAAAATGGATAAAAATGAAGCAAAACTAAAAAAATACTTTCATTGATAACCCCTAATATATGGCTGGAAAATCGACTTCTAAAATAGAGAACTGCGCCAAGCACAACTTTAGGTAAACTGACTTGAAAAGTAACTATGTGTAAAAGACTCTGGCTTTAAATACAAGAGGACTGCAAAAAAAACGTGCAGTGTAAGAAACATGTGAAAATTTGTAACTGACAAAGAAAAATGCAAAGAAACTTAACAAAAGACACTAACATGGAGGTATAAAAAAAAGATAAAGAACAAAATAAATAAACACTAATTACACAAGAAATAACTAGCACAAGCTTGGATCTGACACTGAGGGTCATTAAAAACTTCACCTGTCAAGCAAGCCACAAAGAAATCCCCACAGGATACTTCAACTATCGTCACTCCAGACTGCCCCTCCAGGAACCTTGGTACCCACATATCTTCTAATAACCTTCCCTTCTCAGCTCCATCTGAAGAAACATCCACTGCCTTTTTATTGGAATCCCAGATTATCATGCGTCCACTTTTGGAGACCCCTGTTTTCAGTGCCCTGCCTATGGCTACCTGAACCACATCAGAGTCATGCTGTGGAAGCATCAGTTTGGCTGGTGATCTGATGCCACCGCCCCACAGATACACCACATACTGTGGCTCTCGTGGCTTAAAATCAGGAAGTCCTTCAAGAATTACAGATGCTGAGTTTGTGGAGCTGGTGCGATAGACTTGATTGCCTGTGGGACGGCTGCCAGTTGATGATCGTCCACTTTTTGGAGGTATGACAGCTATAAATAGGAAAATAGCTTTTAAACATTACATATAATTTTCTGTACTTTAGACAGACATGCCCAGCACCACTGCCTTGCAGAATTGACCAACATGAATGGTTTCGCCTTCAAAATTCTACATGTACTAATTAACTTGCATAACACATATAACCAGTTCAGCAAACCTATCTGCAATTTATACATGAAAGAACAAGGCCTTGCAATAACTATGGTAACCTATGCATGTAATTTTCTTGTTAAGGAATCAGTCACACAAAGTCAGTCGAGACAGGGTTTGAAACTCGACTGGTTCTCCTGAATCTAAAGTCATTCCTTGACAAGACTAATGGCAAGATTCTGTATAACTCCATTCTTCTTCTATGCATTCAGTTCCCTAATAAAATAAACTCCAAAAACAACAACAACAACAAAAAGAATCAACAAATGAAAAATCTAAATGACCAATCAGAATTTGTCATGCTCTTCAGTTTCAAATTTCATTTACACCTCCTTCATTTTCACCTACAATTCCTTGATGAAATATAACACACACACACAAAAAAAACCACAACAGCAAAATTGACAACCAGTCAGGATCTGTCATGCTCCTCAGTATTTCCACTTAACAAAAATAATTAACTCATAATTTATAGTCTCTTCAAGGGGACTTCCTGAACACTTTAATGCCTAAGAGTGATTAGCATCTAATTTCTCCTTTCAATATCACCTCTGCATCAAACATTAAGGTCATGAGAATAAAGGAAATGATAATCAACTAAACAACCTCTTGATGGTTAAAAAAATTTCCCTTGCCAGCACATTAGGAAATGTAAAGAGAACAGTAAGGAGAATATACATACTGATGTTAGGGTGTAAAGGGTTAATTTAAGTCCTATGGCTTCAAGAGGTCTCCTCACAACTTTTTTATATTTGAAAACTACTCTTTGAAAAGTTTATGGTGCTGAATAAATAAATGAAAAGATAATTAAATGAATGGATGAAATAATAGTGAGAGCAGGACATAACCTCTTGGACTAAAGCTTTGTCTGAGAATAGTATGGGGGGATCAATATCAGTAACTGGGCAACTGCCCACCTACCCCTCCCCTAACCCAACATTAACCCTAACTTGTTATCAATCGACTGTTGTTGAGTTAGGGGAGGGGTTGGTGGGCAGTTGCCCAGATACTGATATTGATCCGTATGGGGTTATACTGGAGTTATACAGAAAACTTTCCCACTTCTCTAAATGAAGGTGTTAGAAAAAAGTTACCATGTTGTCATGATTCTACACTGAGATGAGAGTAAAAATTAAGTTCACCTGATATTCCTGCCGTTGGTCTTGGCGCTCTGTTACATGGAACTCGTCCCACATCAGTTTGTAGATTAAACAAAGCGTTGACAACAAGCGGTTGTGCCATGATTTGCCGCAGAGTTGGCCTCTTAGCAGGGTCCACCTGAAGCATGTTTAAAACAAGATTCTTGAAATCCTCACTGTATCTTTCCGAAATCGGAATGAAGTTCCCTTTCATAATTTTCATTACCAAAGCAGGTAAATTGGACGCCTCGAACGCTTTCTTTAACGTAGCTAGTTCGTATAAGACACATCCAAGAGCCCAAATATCACTTTTTTGATTATATGGTTTGCCCTCACACAGTTCAGGCGAAATGTAACATGGCGTGCCTATCACTGAATTAGCCTTGCTTTTGCTACTCAGTATTTTTGAGATGCCAAAATCTCCGATCTTTACAACCTTCCTTGTCTTGTTTAGTAAAATGTTTTGAGTCTTAAGATCCCTATGAAGGATATTTTGTTGGTGGACGTGACAAAGAGCCAACACAATTTGTACGAAAAGTCGTATTATCTCGTCTTCGTCAAGCAGCTTTCCTTCGCGTTCCTCGAGAAAGGTGTACATGGTACCTCCTTGGGCATATTCCATGACTATCATCAGCGCTTTTTCCTCGACGAAACTCTCAAGATATGCGATGATGTTTGGATGTTTCAGCATGGAAAGCACTTGAACTTCGTTTTTAGCGGCCACTCTCTCTTCTTTACTCATTTCTTCCACTGGAATTTGTTTGATGATAACATGGCATCCATCGGAATTTCGTCTGCACAAATATACAGTTCCGTAGGCACCACGACCAATACTCTTGATTTTTTCGTAGTTTTCCATTCCTTCATTAGACTAAAGGACTTATATTACAATTTTAAATCTCTTCACTACAAATCGGAGGAGAAAAAAAAAACAGGGCAAAAATTAAATAAATCTGCTATCAAACGGTAACACGATAGGAAATCTCCGCCATGTTTTGATTGATGAACCTCACTTTGAAGTAGTATCAGAGAGAAGACTGAGTACGACAACTTTGTCTGTTGGCAACAAAATGTCGGATAAACATGGCTAAAAATAAACCTCTAAAAACCTTTTGAAAATATGAGCATGGACGCGTCCGAATCTTTGCGACAACAGTTCCAGCTAATACAGGAACAACAGCAGAAAAAGCTTCTCGCCAGAAAACAACGAAAGACCAAGAATCCTGACAATACATCCAGGGACGACGAAGAAGCTACAACGGTTGAAGGCTTCTGGGGGCATGACTACAAAAGCGATCATTTGGACTTAAAAGTATGTCAGTTTTGTTTTGATTAATTTCAAAGTTTGAGTACTACATAGAATAAGCATACTAACTTGGATTTTTATTCTCGATTTGCTCACAATTTGTACACAAGGGAACACTATTGCTCTGGAGAATAAAATGAGCGGTTACTTTTTATACTGATTCCAGAACGTAACTTGGATCTGTTAATAAAAATTATTTTAGTAGTACATTATCGACCTTTTACACCCAAAAATCAACACGCATATTCTCCATACTGTTCTCCATACATTTCCTGAGGTGCTTACATAGAGAATTTGTTAAACAATCGAGAACTTCTTTAGTTGGTTATCATTATCTTTTACTCTCGTGACCTTACTTTTGATTCAGGGATGATATTGTTGAGATTAATTTTGTTTTAGTCAGTCCTAGGGGTCAAAGGGTTTTTTTGTACCTCTGTAATGCTGAAATTTAAAAGTTACAAATGTTGCTACTTTGACAGCTTGATTCCAAGGTGCCTTTTGGGGAAGAGGCACCCATACACAAGGAACTTGAAGACTTGAAAGACACTATAAGGGTGAGTTGATTATAAAGTAAAAATCCAAAATTATTTGCTATCCTGGAATCTAAGTACAATCCAGAAAAAAAAATTATACTGCAGAAAAAATTTCTTCTCTTGACCCCTGCACCAGCAGTCAGGCAGTGTTTTAAAAATGGTTTTTCCCTGACATCTTAGAGTAGGATTTTAAGATTTCCTGTTACTAGTCCATGGCATTTTATTAGATTAAGGCTCTACCAGATAGGTCCTTCATCTTGACATGGTTACAAGAATAAAATTTCTTTGAGCAGATGAGGGCATCATTTGCGTAAACTCATTCTCATAAATTATACAGGTTCTTAAAGATGAAAATGGAAGACTTTACAAGCTTCTTGGTGAGAGAGATGAAGAAATGAGGATTCTAAGAAAAGCTCGAGATGAAGAGAAAAAGGCTTTGGCAGGTAAAAACTAATTTAACAATGACATAATAAATGTTGCTTCTGTATAGAATGAGGGTTTTTCAGGTGTTCAAGCCAGTCAATTGCTGATTTTTTGGACAGCATTTCAGATTTGGTCACTATTCTCAGATAAATTTAGCTGATAGAAGGAGTAGAGTGTTACCTTTTATTTAAAAAAAGGGTGGCTGCATTGTTGCAGAGAACCGTAAGGTAATTTGGCTTTAGCAACTGAGTTGATAATACGAATTGGTTATTGGAGACAGTTTCTAAAGCTGATGTTTCATATGTAAGCTCTTCATCACTGAGCAAAGAGAGGAATTGTGGGTTGTGTGTGGTTCACAGAAAGATGGCGGAGCTGTCCTATTGCTACGCTTTGAAGTAATTGATTAAGTTATCTAGAAACTTAGTTTGCCACTATTTTTCATGTATCATGTTCACCTGGCAAAGGGTGATTATTACAAAATATTTGTTGCTTGACTAGTCAGAAGAAAGATCTCTACATATAATTCTCAGTGATTAACATTTGAAGTGGTTCAAGGAAAGGAATACAGGTGGAGGCCCCACATGACTTTTGAGGAAACATATGCTTCTCCTTGTGTTCTACAAGGGATTATAAAACAATCTGAATGAAGAATCTGCAGCTGTATTTAATTTAGTCTCTTGACAGTCACTTTGGGCTTTTTGTCCATGCAACCCTTCATCTGCACTTGGTTACTTCATGTTCTAGAGTGCCTAACTGCCGTGCGGTATGTCTAGGGTTTAAGCCCCAGACTGGACCAACACTCTGGGTCTTAACCCTTCAACTTCCAGAAGAGATTAACAGTCATATAACTTTTCCCTGTAATACCTATACTTTATCTAGTGAAAAGGTAAAGAGAAAATTCAAACTTATCAAGTGGAAGTTGTTATCTTGATTCATCACCAAATTCTCATAACTAATTTGAAAGAAAATCTGTAGCAGCTAGAGGGGAGAATTAAAAATCTGATCTCACAAGTTAAAGAGTTAAAATAACTGAATTTGTCACAACATGCACAATTGGTTAGCATTCTAGTCTTCTTGGATAAGGATGAAAAACTGCAGGCCTCATCTTGTGCATCTTCTTTGTACTGGTTAGCAGGAGACAGTAAAGAACCCATGCACTTTTCTATCATACGCAGCATATAGTTATGGTTTATGGTTTATGGCACATAAATATGTGTATTTTATGTAGAATTTCTATTTGAGTTTTGTAACTTTGTTGTTCTCTTAGGCACTGGAGTGGCTGCTGACACTGCTGCTGGTAGAATCATGGAACTGTCAAAGAAGAACAGAGACCTGACTGCAGACTTGGAAAGTGAACGAAACAAAGTACGGCAACTGATGAAGAAGATGAGAGAGATGGAAAGAGAGGTACATTGCATTGATATAGTAGCATGAGAGTTGTTCATTTTGTAGCTGTCCACTCTTAAACAAAAGGTAACTCTAGCACATATTTTTTTTCTTTCTTTAATGCATGCTGACATTTGTTGAAAGACTTGACTAGATGCTTACCAGCAATGTAAAAATATGCTACTTTTAAAATTATCAAATGCAAATCAGTGGAAAATATTTTACTCTTCAACTTCTATTGCACTGTTGGACAACTTTCATTTTCTTGTTTGCCAGATGGTATCCTCAGGAAGTCTGCAGAGTAACTCAAAACAGCCTGGTGAAGAGCGCAAAATTAAATCAAAGTCATCAGACTCAGAAAAGGTACTGGTAGCTGCCAAGTCATTCATATACAAATTTTTGAACTCACACGAAAAAACCCTGAACCTTGCTGAACCAAACTCCTTAGGGAAAAAAATGGTTTGAGTTGGGGTGGAGGGGAGGGAGGGGGGTCGAGTCAGGTGATAGTAAATGACCAAAATCAGCTCTTCTTTGGAGTTACTGAGTTAACCAAGTTCGAGTTAGTAGCGTTCCATTGTAATATCGTACAGAAAGTGATAGACAGTGTAGAAAATAAATTATATATAACCAGCACCCTGCAGTATGTGATGCTAACCATAGATTCATCTGTTTTGTAGGACAGTTCTGAAATTGCCTCTCTGCAGGACAAACTGAGCCAAGCAAACAATAAAGTGGCAGAATTTAGGAATCAATGTGACAAACTGAAGAAAGATTTAAAGGTTGCACACAAGGTGAGAACACTCACTTATTGAGGTTTTTCATCTGCAAATATTTTACGATCTTAAAGTGTCATTTAATTTCAGTTAATGCTGGCGTATTTATTCTTTTATTTTTTCTATTCATTTAAGGTCCTTGCAAAGGAGGTTGGGGATGGTTTCAACATCACCACACTGTTGAATGACTCCAGTGGTTGGAGAGGACGACAACAGCAGATCACGTCTTTACAAAACAAGGTAAAATTTATCTTAAAGCTCTTCGTAACTTCAGCAGTTTTTAGTGCTTCAAGTAATATATCAAGCACGAGGAAGAGTGTTTCATCCGATATCCAAACACCGAGAAGTGGTTGAAAAAACGATGCGCAGCCGAGTTTTTTTTTTAACCAACTTCGACGTGTGTGGATATCGGATAAAACGCCCTTTCGAAAGTTTGATAAAGCTTCTCAAACCATTAATAATTCTTGGAGAAATTCAAAGCAAAAGTTCACCAAATTTTATGATAATTAAGATCACATATCCAAACCTCCTTCACGGTTGTAATTTCCTTTGTTTTCTCAGCATGAATTATTATGAGTTTGAGAATGGAATAGAAAGTTGTAACGGTCGTGATAACGATGAGGCGTTTATATAGCACATTATCCATACTAATACTCTCTAAGGCGCTTTACGACACTTTTGGAACTCTTTGGCCACGAGCATATGACAATTTTAAAAAATTGTTGGTTCCCCCACTTTTTGAAACAAGTGCAGACCACAACAACTTAAGTTACGTTCCCCACTTCTTTTGAGAAATGCGTGGGTTATTCAAAGTCCCCTGCTAACCAGTGAAGAGAAGATGCTGGAGAGGGGGGTTGTGGTTTATCATTCTTAACATGCGAGAAGACCAGAATGTCTAATTATTTGCAGATGTCATTGCAAAGAGAGCAACATTCTCTTCAGCTATTTTAAGACTCTGAATGTTGGTCATGTATGCCACTCGACAGGTTACAGAGTTAAAGGCACAGTTGAGTCAGGTGGCTCGTAGCGGCTCAACCACATCAAACAACATACTTCTGAGATCAGCCATGATGTCACCATCCAGCGCTCCTTCTCAGTATGACGAAAAACATCGCTCGGTGTTAAAAAAGATCGAGAAAGATCGTAAGGAGGCGCAAGAGGTGAGAGACGTATATAAAATCATAGCAAAAAGAGGGGTCCCGGGAATAGCGTCAGTATAGCGTAACAGAGGCACAATGACAAACATAAGGTACCATCTGTTAGCATTTTTTTCATTTTGCAACTTAGAGAAGGTTCTTGAACGCCGAATAAAAGTAACACCTCAAACTTTGCTTCATTATGTGTAAAATTGAGCTTCTCGTGCTATATTTTTTTATTTGTATTTCCCTAATAACGTGTCATCTAAATGTCTCTAATAGCATACTCGACGTAAACGTACTTATTCTTTGCTCATGCGCTTAGAAGGAGGGAAAGAAACGACTTCAATTTCGAGTAGTTGAGAATTATATTTCGTTGGTATATTGTACATGATACTTTTTTTTGATAGAAAACTCAGGCGGAGTTA